ACAAATAACAGTTGTTTTCCTCTATGGTAGCCTTTACACACAAAATCATTGTACTGGAGTGCTCATTTTCATCCAATTACAAACTTAAATAATGTTTATAATAATAGCAAGGTGGTTGGGGGGGTGGGGGGTGTGTTATAAAGACTTAAAATTCAGCTTCTGCTTCTCCTGCTAAATGATTGTGCACAGAGCTGCCTCCCTTTAGAGGTGTCTGTCGGGGTCTTTCATGAGGCATTCACTGAATATAGACTGGCTGGTTATTGGGTAATATTTTATACAGAGGCTGAACCTTTATTTAACAGTCAGGAGACTTCTATCGATTCATGCAGGCAGTAATGGTGACTGAGAGCTGGGATTGATTCATTGGCACCTGCTGGTATCCAGGGTTTGATTTCACTCTTTACAACCTCTTCCTTCTGCTTCCCCTAAACACACACTTTCTTTAAGTAAAAAGGAATAAACCAAGAAGGCCGTTTTTTGGCAGTAGCTCTACAACTGCAATAAAATTCACATCTTACTACATGTCATACCTGCAGCTACTGCAGACCCAGCTACAACTTTCTAAAGCCTCTCAAATTTCCCTCCATGCTACCTATCCTTATTTTTTAAATACGAGGTGAAATCAAGCATAAGAGATACAGGAAAACAGTGTATAGTGCGTGACAGCTACAATGCTCAGAAATTAGCTATTCCTTGTCCATTTTATACGTGTCCATACACATGTACCCTGTCTAGAAGGGAGCCATTTTCCTCCAGTTTAAAAATAAGTAATAAAACTCTATCATGTTCATACATAGCTGGTAGCAGCACCTTTGAACCAGCCAGAGAGAAGGATTAACAAGGTAGAAGTCTCCACAGTTATGAAACCCCCCATAACAAAACACCAAAGCCCCATATACTTGCAGAGCAGTTCAATACTTCTCAGTTAAGCAGGTCGCATGGGGTGCAGCACTGCAGCTTTGGAGGCACCCCCAAGGTTCCTAGCAAAGCCCTTCAGCAGTGCAGTCTGTAGGCACCAGCCCCAGGCACCAGCTGACTCCAGACTCATTTCAGGACAGAGATGGCCCAGGACCTCAAACAGGGCCACCCAAACCATCTTTGGCGAATGAATCTTTGCCAGATCCTGCGGTTGTGCTTGCAGAGATGCAGACACCAAAGGTCTCAAGCTTTGCTGATAGTGGTCTGAAACCATTACCTTTGATAGTGGGTCTCTCACTCCCTGATGACTCTTTAAGAAGTACATATAGCAGGCAATGAAACAATGGGCCTTCTTCCCACTGGGAAGTCTCCCTGGCTCCTCAAACCAGCTTTGTACTCTCACTTCCCAACGAGATGATGAGATCAGGCATGAAGTCTTGGCCTCTTTAAATCAAGTGTGACTTTTACCACTGGTGTCAGGGGCCAGAATTTCATTATAGGCCCTATTTCCGTGGGCCTAACTAATGGCAGACAGAGCTTCACCCGGGGTAAAGCTGGGTTACTGCAGGTTTTAACTCATCATGATTTGACACTTGCAGACCCACCACTGCTTGCTTCTGTGGAACTGTGGGCCCAACGACACCCAAATATTTGAAATTCATGCTCTAAGGCCTAACCCACCTTTTTTTTCTTTTCTTTTTTTTCTTTATCCTTTGCTTCACTATCCACCTTTAAAATCTTTTTTTCCTTGGAGCCCGTCAAAGCTGCCTCCCCAGGGCTCTCCCCTATTGTCTGTGTCCTCATGCATCCCTTTGTAATACCAAAGCTGTGCAGTTGATGCTCAGACTGAATTAGAAAGCAGGCCTCTGTCTGATCTGCAAACATACCTCCAGCCCTATTTTCCTTCCCTTAATGTATTCCAGTCTATGCTTGTGTAGTTTAAATCTTCAATTCCTACCACTCTCCTTTCTACATGCCTGTTTTATTTGCACAGTCATTTCACAGTCCAGTTGTTCTTTCTGGTCAGGTGGCCTATAAAATATTACTAGTTTACTTTCTGAAACATCTCCAACTGCAGCCCATAATAACATAGCAGCCCCATTCCAGCCTCCCTCAGATCCCTGCTTTCAAAGGCTAATAAATCCTTTTCCTTTTCAAATAGCTCTCTCTTCTCTCATTCCTTTCTCTTCCTCCCCAAACAATCTAAACGATCTCTCCTCTTTAATGTTAATACCCCTGTTATCTTCTAAGGAAACTGTAGCTCCATCCACACCTATTTCCCAATGGGCAATGCCTACTCCTGCATCCACACCAAGACACAACAATGAGCATGCTTCTCCCATTCCCTGTACAAATATAACCTCTTCCTGACCGCATCTGTGACTGATGGCTTTGCTGTTCCCAATCAGGGCTGGTTCTAATTTCTGTCCATCACCCTGCAAGTCTCCACGTCACCAACTGCTTCCAATTTGTCTGGATGGAAGGGTCTAGTTAGAGCCAAGGATTTCAACTTTTTAATGCATTTCTTCCACTATATCACAGAAATCACAGAATTGTTTGGGTTGGAAGGGACCTCTGGAGATCATTGGGTCCAACCCCCTGCCAAGGCAGGGCCATCTAGAGCAGGTGACATAGGAACGCATCCAGGCAGGTTTTGAATGTCTCCAGAGAAAGAGAATCCTGGGCAGCCTGTTCTGGGCCCTGCCACCCTTAACATAAAGAAGTTCTTCCTCATGTTGAGGTGAAACTTCTTGTATTTTAGTTTATCCCATAAGTATATTTAACTAGTTTCCCCCACTCCCACTGTATGAATCATCCTTCCACCTGTGTTGTGGTGTAGACTGGTAAGATGAACCTAGTGCTTGGGGTTGAAACCGTCCCTGAGGTTTTCATTCCATACCTTGACTTCCAATGCCTTAAATTCCTCCAACTGCATTTTCTTAGCACATGTTTCTGCTGCAATGGGGCAATGGGACAGTGACTGGGTGCTCAAGAGGCTCTTCTGCCCAGCCAGGTCTCTGCATCTCTATCACGTATGTGTAGTCCTATGGGGGCAGACACAGCTTTGAGCAAAGCCATGGGCTCTCCCCTGCCTTAGCCCAACCACCCTGCAGGTCACTTGCGCGTGTCCCATGGAGAGGTGCGATGAAATGCCCTTCCATTTCCTATACTAAACCTGTGCAAGAATGCTGCAGCACAGACTCAGCATGAGCTGTGAAATACCCTCGGTGTTTAGCCCGCTGGGAACCCCATACCAGGTGTCCCAGCAAGATTTCCTAAAGTAGCCAAATGAACAAGTTGTTCACAAACAACTCAAGTCCAGAGCTTCCCAGAAAGCTGGAAGCTGGGATGTCCATGTTCCTTTTGTCATCGTTGAGATGAGAAACTGTAAGGACCAGCAAATCCCCTCACACTGGGGAAGAAGACAGAGGAGATAGGAGTGGCTTAGGATGGGCTTCATGTGCCAAGGGTTACTCATGTGGTTTAAACATCAGGCCAAAGTTTGAGGAAATATACTCTACACTATATTTAAGTATGCTGAAAAGAAAATTTGGCCCTAAATTAGTTTAGTCCTATGGTGACTGTAAAATGGGATTTATATGTATTTGCATTACTGATCTGGAGAAGAGCTTGGGAGGGGTGCAGAGAGATACAGCCAACACAGTTCACAGCACCCAGCAATCTACCCTGCTCACTGCTCCAACTTCTGATTTGCCAAAAAGGAAGAGAAAAGCAATTTCCTTCTTTTTCTCTTTTGCAGCCCTTTGACTGAAGTCTTCACAGAGCCCCATGGGGTTCCCTGGAATCCAGGGAATCACCTGTATTTGCACCACAGGAAAGCTCTATTGTTACTACTGATACAGACACCCACAGACACCACTACCAGGCTACACACACCCTGCCAAGCAGCCAAGTGGTTCTGAGCCAGGCTGTGGTCTGAGCCTTTAACATAAGCCCTGGGAAATCCTTGAGAAGGCCAAACGCAGCGAGTGCCCACCATCCCATCATTCTCCTCTGCCTCATGGGCTCTTCCAGTTTCCCAGTTGTAATCGGTGCTGGTTTTGCAAACTGGGCCACACCTGAACCTGTCAGGCTGCCTACGAATGCACCACAGACCCAGAGCCCAGTAGCTGCTCAAGGGGCTGTGCGATGACACAGCTACTGGTAGCAGTGGAATCTCCATCTGGGCCCAATGGGCTTGCGGTGTTTCCAGCAAGCACACAGCCTATGTGGTACCTTTAAAGCACAGCCCTCCAGGAGATCTGTGACATCTTGGCTGGAGCAACTGTACAGCTGTGCTGTAACTGAAGAGAGGGCTGGAATTTCCAGCCTTTTAGCCTACTTGTGTGAAGCTGGGAAGATCCAGAGCACGCCTCTTCCTACAAATCTTGAAAAAGCTCCCATTGTGGTTCCCCATCCCTGGTGCCGACACATGTTGTTGGGCCTTATCATACAGCAGTTGGTCTTGGTCTTAACCAGGTCAGATGGATCTCACTTTTACCTAATAGCCCCTCTCAATCCTCTTCCAGTCTCTAGCTGACATTCCTAAAAATATGGGAATCTGCTTTTCTCAGTAAGCCTCAAAAAGTAAAGAAAGGCTTGGAAGAAGTTTCAGGGGAAGTGATGAATAAGGACCCTAGGCACACACATTGCATTAGGGATCAAATATAAGACTCAAAGTCAAGAGCTGTGAAGGGTTTGATCCTGCCACTGATTTTAAATCCAATTAATTTTACCTCTTTATCTATAACTTTTCTTATCTGAAAAATGGGCTACTAAGGATAATCCAAACGCATACATTTTCTGATGTCAAATTTGCTGACGATTGTGCAGTACTCTCAGGTAGAAGGGTGAGTTTGTTAGTGGTTATCTTGTCACACAATAAAATTGTTAAAATGTGGTGCTTTTTTCTTTGACACAGAAGTTTTTACCATCATTTACAAGAACAGAGGCAATGCACCAGGACAGGTCGTGACGCTCCAGTGCCCCATGGCATCCCCACGGCATCCCCACAGCTACTGGCAACAGGACTCTGTGGACTTGGGCTATCACATGGACACACCTTCTACTCCCCAGCACGGACTGTCTCCATTCCAGAACACTGAGCCACATCTCAGCCCCTGGAATAAGTCTCCTTAGGACACTGCCAGGAGGAGGTGCGGTAGTGCAGGGCTGAGCATCTCTGCCCACTCTATGCCCTATTTGCCCTTCTCTTGTGCGAATAGTACAGTTTGCTAAAAAGCACATCAGAGTAATGCTGGGTGGCTGTAATTTGGTGCAGGGACCCCAGCATTTGTGGTATACAGTGTACAGACACAGCTTGACTAGGTAAATGACACAGTAAAACAGGCTAAATCAACAGTGAGGGAGAGGATGAGAGAATGATATTGACTGTAATGTTTACAAACACTCATCACCTTCCAACTCACTGATGAATTGGTAATTTTTCTACAGGAATAAAAGATCCCTCTTGCTTTAAAGACAGCTATTTGATGAGGCACAAGGGAGACAATTAAACATTTCATTTACTTTGACCAGCTCTGTCATTACAGCTCTTTGTTTTCCCCATCCCTTTCTTTTACTCTGACCTTTAGGATGTGGTACTTGGTGGGTTGGTTTTATTTTCATTTTCTTTTATTTTTGGCCAGGTCAGCTCAAACGGATCCTGTTTCCCAAAGATAACATGAATGCGGAATATTAATGCAGACTTTGCCTATTGTGTCCCTTTGCCTCCCTTCCCCCCATTTCCCCCCGCGCCACATGCCCCCCCCCCGCCTGCAAGCTCATTTGCACAAAAGCACACCGAGTCCCCACTCAGCAGCCCACCTTGAACAAAACACTCCAGGACTCTTGAACCAGCAGAAGTGCTAATCAAGCAGGGCCCTGTGCTGTGTGCTTCTGCAGTGGTTGCCTGGCATAGAAATGGGCTGTCTGGCCGCAGCTATGAGGTAACGTCTGGCTTTTTTGCCAAGCTGCAGAACGAGTCAGACACTCCCTGGAACAACATTTCTTCAGGAAAAAAAAAAAAAGAAAAAAGAAAAAAAGAAAAAAAAAGTTAGGCAAGAAATGATCTTCCAGAAACTTCCCTGCATCTTTCGGGGGGTTGGGGGGCTGGTGGTGTCCCCCCCCTCCGGGGTTTTTAAGTTATATAACCAATTACTTAGAATGCAATGGGCTTCATCAGCTGATTCAGGGCAATACTCTTATGAAATGCATTTCTCACTCTTACAAGGTGAGCTGGGAATTTGGGAAGGGGCAAGAACACACACACACACGATAATTACACTCACAGACGTACCCCGCTCTTTTCCCTGCAACGCTGTCTAGATCTGTCAGCTATTTTTGGATGCAAGCTGAAATAGAGCACTATGCGTTCAAGCAAGGCAGAGCTAACCTGCATCTGCAGCAGCTTTTTTGCAGCGCCACCAATTAATCTAATTAACCAGTCAGAGGAATTCTGTGTTCCACTGCAGCAGCAGCCCTTCTCTTTCCCTTACACATTCCTTATTTACCGAGGCTGGATGGTATTCTTGATTCAGCATATTCTGCTTTTTACATCACTGACAACTTGGTTTTTTTTCCCCTGAAGGACAGAAAATGCACAGTTCATTTTTGCTGCAGTGACGGTTGAGAAATAAACTGAACTGAGGAGACATGGCTGTTCCTTTGGAGTTTCAAGCTGTGGCTAACAAACCCTCTTGTATTAAGTACTTGTATATATGTATCAGTCAAAAATGTAGACTTGATCCTAGGTGATACCCTTCAAAGAGTTAATTCCTGAGAAGCAGCAGCTTTGAAAAGGTGCAAGAAGGAATGTCTTGTCCTCAGGGTAGGACCAGCCAATGGAGCCGGGAGCCGGTGATGTAATGCTCCAGACCTGGCGCATCATTGGTCCCACAGATATTAGACTTGATATGATTTTGGAGAGTTTGGTGAGAGGAGTTTTTGCAGAAGAGCCTGTAAATTTCCCTGCACCAAGGACACTGCACTTCAGTTCTCTCATGTTCTTCAGCCAGGGCATGTCTAGCTGGTAGAAGTTTGCTCTAATGATAATGCTTCTATCTTGCATCTTGGTTCAGCTATTCTGTATCCTGCTATCTAGGAGGCATTTATTCCTCTGAAGTCAGACTGTGCTGGAATTACTTCTCCAGCCTGGCCATGAAACTGAAATGAATTTTTAATAAAAAGCAGTTGTTTTTTTCTCTGACTCACCTCTGAACTCTTAATTGTTTCAGGCACCGACTTCCAATCCCCCAGCTTCTATTACCTTCCCAGGTTTTCATCTGCCCAGTCTTATTTCTGTAGCTGATTACTTCACAAGGAGATGGCTGATGATGTCTTAAATGAACCTCTCCAGTCCGGGCTTGCTCTGGAGGAATCTGCTTAAACCACCCTAACATCATTCAGCTCAGGAACACGGCACCTTTTGCCTGCCAAGGTCTCATGCTGCAGGACTTGCAGGAATGAAGCTGCAGTCCCTGGCCACTCCAGTGCACTAAGTAGTTTGTTTGAAGTTTAGCCGGGATTCAGTCACCGAACCCTATGAGATTCTCATCCCCTTCTCTCATCACCCAAGTAAAATAAAGAGTCTCAGAAAAACTACAGGGATGATTAAAGTCTTTGTGAAACCAGGGAAGAGGAACCAGGAATTGCAGATGTTTACAGACTGTCTTCTACAGCTCCCCTCATGGCATTGGCCATGAGGTCAAGGCAGCATCACGGGAAGCCCAATCCAGCCCACAGATCTCTGGAGGCTCTGAGCAGTGCAGTTTCCTGTACTTCCCCTGGGCACCCTGAAGAGCTCTGCCAGTTGCCAGAGGCCAAATATCACAAAAGTGCTGTGGAGAGTAGAGCTGTTCCAAGGTACAAACGAGTTTGCGCTCCTGAGGTTTGCTTCTTTCCCAAAGAAGAACAAGCACATGAAATCCTAAAATTCCTGGAAAACTATGGGTAAATATAATTTTTTGTTCAGCTTTTTATTTCAAGAAAACCAAAATGTATGTTTGGATACAAACTTTTTAAAAAACTTATTAATTATATAAAGAAAGTGAAAAGTGAAAGAATTCATTTCAGAAATGGAACTTTTCCTATCACCTTCTATTTTTGTCTGAAATAAAATCAAACTTTCAGTGAAACTGGGTCAGGTTAGTGGCATGTTTGAACAGTGATAAACACCTTCTGAGGCCAAACAACCTCCATTCCTGTTGAAACAGAGAGGCTGAACAAACTTTGCAAGGTCCTCTCCTTGTGCTGTGCAGCCTAAGTTACTTCTACAACTGGATTATCCCTGGCACACTACTGTCTTCTTTGTCTGTGTAACACAGTCTTAAAAACCTTTCAGAGAATGAGATCTAAAGCTAACCTAGGGTGTCTGTTCCACTACCTAACCCTCCTAATAAGCAGAAAGCTTTTCCTAATATCCAATCTAAATCTCTTTTTTTGCTGCAAATTAAGCTGATTTCTTCTTAAGCTGATGTCCTACCTCCAGTGGAGAAAGGAAATAACTAACCACCACCTTTAAATCAACCTCATAGTACTTGGCTATTATCATGCCCTTTCTTAATCTTTTTTTCCCCAGATGAAACCAATCCAGTTATTTCAATCTTCTCACTCACAGTATCTGAATTTCAGATAGTTCCTGTTGTTCCTTCCATGGGATTTTGACTCATTTTTAAAGTTTCCAGAACTGGACCTAGTATGTTGTGCTCCTGACTGATGTACTGCTGCATCCCTTCATGCTGCTCATCAACATAGGCAAGGAGAGCATTGGTTTGTTCACTGAACATGGGATGAAAGCTGGGGAGGGGGTTGTCACCTAGGCAGGTCTCCTGCTTTGTGACATTTTGTTGAAGCAGTGTCCGTGTTTGAGACACCACACAAACTAAAACCAGTCACAGGCTGTAACTCCTCAGCTTTCCAGAGGAGGAACGATGCACAGTGTACCCTGAAAGAAGGATTTCTGTTAACTGTACCCAGTGTTTCCAGAGCTCAGCGCTTAGCTGCACGTTCCGTCTGCTACCAACCAGCTATTCATTTTTACTGATTTTCCAGTATGGTGAAGGCAGAATACCTCTTAAAGTTGATCAGGTTGTTGTTATTATATGCTAAAGAAGGGAGGATGAGATTAAACATATGGGAAGTGAAGACCACAGCTGAACACCATGCCAGTGCAGTGCACGCTGTGTTGGTATGGAGCGCTACCAGTTTCATTCTCTTGAATGCATGGGATGCAGCCCAGCCCCTGTCCTCCTGGTCATCCTGCTCAGTTGAAACATGTTTATCATGTGTATTGTATCGAGCTGGTAGGAATTTGTTGCCACCAGAGAACAGTGACTGCCAATTTCTTTCTTTGCTCAATTGAGCAAAATGAGGTTTTGTTTGCTACCTTGATGGAAACAGTGCAACATTTCACTACTACCTAAGCAGAAGTATTAAGATGAAGCTACTGTATGATCATACAAGACTGAGTCTAAAAAGCCCCCCAAAAGCCCCACTGTGTAATTTGCTTTAACACTGTGTTTATGGGCTTTGACAATGAAGCTTGTCACGTTAGAATATAATGACAATGAAATCCATATTCTGTGATTCTGTAGTTATTTTCCCAAGCACCAGCAAGAACACCTTTTCTCTTCCAGACATTTCTGGCTCGTAAAGAGACATTTTGTATCGGCCTTGGAAAACTACTGTTTCAACAAATCGGGGGCTGTGCTGAAGCCCCTGCCCGCCCTGCACACACTTTACATGGCAAGTTCAGGAGTGGCTGTGCAGGGTGTTCACTGTGTGGTGCATAGAAATGCATCTCAGTCGTGACTCCAGCTTTTCAGCACTGCTGCATAACAGTGACAGCAGTGTTTAGGGGGGATTCTGCTGCTTTGCTGCTGAGGGTCTTCCCCCTCCTTCAGGCAGTTTGAGAAAGAGCCTTTGGTCTAGCAAGTACCTTCTGCAGCACAGGATTTCATATAAGCCAGGCAACAAACCATGGGAATATACATGAATATAGGAGATAAAGGTGAACTGGTCAATTTGAAAATATGACTATCTCCAAATACCCTTCTGATGTGACAAGGGAAGTCCAGTGGACAATGCAAAATGCACTGTCAAGTGCTTGTTCTTCTGCAGTGTATTTGTAAAGCCACGCAAAGTAACCATGCAGGAATGTCAGCCTGCTCAGGCAGGTCCCATCAGTCACCCATGGCAGGCACTCCTGTGGGAGGACACCCAACTGGAGATGCTGAGATGTTTTACTGCCACCATGCTTCTTTACAAATTGAGAGGAGAAAAATTCCACTCCACAGGACATAGAGTGTCAGTTTAAGTGTTAATTATATTTTCATATCAGAACATAAACTCCAGTTTGTAAGAACATGGGTGTCCTTAAAATACGTCGTAATAAAGAATTGAAAACAGCTAGTGTTCTTGAATTAATTTTCACACTTACAACTTTAAAGAATAGTTCCCTTTTTCTATCTCATTTTTTCAGCTTTATAGGGCTTTGTGCTTGCCTTGTCATTTCATCAACAATATGTCAGTCTGTAATTTGCAGTGTTTCTTTCAATTAAAACCAAAATGCCCCAAAATAATGACAACAACGACAACACAAGCAAAGTCTCAACAATGCATTAAGCTCTGTGGGCATGGTAATTTGAAAGAATACGTATAACTTATTTTATCACCAATAGAGAAAACAGCAAAGTTTCAAACTATAATTGTGAAGATGGTATCCTTCTGTTGCTATTAATGGCTGCTGTCTGTGGCGTATACATTACATTACTTCTAATTTTCACAGCTCATTCGCATCATAAATGAACACGAAGAATCCTGTGGAAGATACTGTAGGTACCACATTTATCATAATATCTGAGGGCTTTCTTTGGGATCACAGAAATTGGACCTTACATATATACACATGATTTACTTCATTTATTGGATTGCAAAATTTTAAATCTTCCCAAGGTCATTACGCTAATGGGAAGCACAAGGTTAAAAGATGCTGACTACAGACTATGCAGAACCTTTCTGATACCTTTTAAGCACTCATTTCTAATTCCTAAAGCTACTGACTTCTTGTTTTTAAGCTGCTCCAAACTCCTGCAAATCCCAGGAGCCTGGAGCAGTCTTCCAAACCTCTAGCAGTACATTTACTTTCTTCTGAGTTAACTACTAGACCTAATTAAACAACACTGTCTCATCTGAGTGGATGATATCCTTACAGTCTGCATACAAATTAAAATCCCAGTTCTGTTAACATTCAGGTCAGTTAATTGGAATAAACCTCTTTAAAACCGAAAAGAGCGAAGTGATTTCAAAGTCAGTCAGACTCCTAACTCATTTTTAAGGATGTCGTTTGTAATATTCTCTATTGGCTTTCTTTAAACAGTAAAAAAAAAAAAAAAAAAAGAAAAAAAAAGAAAGACCTCACAGTTCTCAGATCAGCTTAATTCAATGAAAGAAAAATAGGGAATTTTACATGAGGAGCTGCTAAAGAGCTTCAGTTTCCAAAGGGCAGGCATGCAGTTCTGCGTGTTGAAAATTGCACAGACAGTTGCCAAAACAGCATGTGCAAATTAGACATCATTCACATAATGAACTTGTTAGAAGACTAATTCAAGATTTGCATGTGGAAATCCGAATGTGGAGCTACATTATTCCTTGTGAATGCAGATGTATCTATTAGCCTGTCTATTTTAGCAGATGTTATTTTGGAAACAAGATCCCAAGTCCTCACAGTACAGAAATTAATAACTAGAGATTGTAATTTCATGGAGAGCTTCTCTCTTACATAGGACATGATACAAGACAGTCTGAAATATTGAGATTTCATCTGACCCTTGTAACAGATTTTCTGTGTGAGCTCAGGGAAATTACATTACTTTTACCTACTTTTGTTTACCTATCAGTGAAATGGCTTTAATACTCCTTATCGGCCATCACATGTGCACAGACTCAGTGCTTATAATTCTCTCTAAGCTCTGCAGATGATCACATGTTTTGGAAGAGGGTTTAAACTTGAATTGTTTAACCCAACCATTTTCTTATTGCAAATGCTAATCATCTGGCAATAATTTTCTAGTGTTAAAGAGGGAAGGAAAAGAATGAGAAGGAAACAGACTCAGATCCAGGTATGCTGGCAAACTCTGAGGTAGGCTGGGCCTTCGTAATTGGAGTTGAAACTTTGGTGAATAAGTAGGCTTTAGATGAGGAAGAATGCAGAAAGCAGAAGCTGTGCTTTCATTCACCAAGCAAGAAAACGCTGCATTTGGTTTGGTGTGGTTGGGATCGTACCCCTCCCACTAATCCCTTAAAATGGTGAGTTTCAAAATGTGCATGCTATGGGTGCTTGGGTTTGGGCTTGGCTGCAATGATGACAGATGCAAGGCTTTGCTTAGCATTCAGTCTGCGTATTGCTAAAATGCATACACCTTGCTGCCCAGGTTTTAGGCCCTGTAGTCACTGTTTTGAAAGTGTAACACTATTTTGAGCTTTATCTACATTTTATTTTCATCGAAAATAATTGCTGTGAGTTAGGGACTGCCTAATGCCCTGCTGCTATCTCCAAATCTCTAGTAGTATGCTGGCATCCAGTAGTGAACCTAAAAGCTGCACAGATTTTCAAGTTGTAGCATGTTAATCTCATTCAGTATGTATAACTATCTCTCTAAGTGAAAAGACGAATGCACCAGGTTTTATATGTACTATTTCTATGATTGCATTTGAAGTCCAGTAAATGGAAAGCAAAAAAAAAAAAAAAAACCACCACAAAACCAGAATAAAATTGATGCAAGTATTTACTTTGAATTCAGTAACCAGGTACAGTTTGGCCCGCCCCAGTGTGCTCTTTCCATAAAAACTGAAGGTGAACATTATTCGCATCACCTTGTAGGGAAAGAAATCTGCTTTCAGGAAGACTGGAGTATAAGGCTAGTGAAA